TGATTTGTTTTCCTTCTGGTCATCCTCCCTAATACAAAGGGCAACCTGGGACAATACTGCAGTAAGAAAATTATTTCTCTTCGTTGTTTTAAGCTCTCATCATCCCCTGTTTCATCATTCTACTTAAACTACTTGCTTCTGTAAGTCTCATATCGGCTACCTGTTAAAATGAGATTTTGAAGCCAGGTGTGATGGTTCACGCCTGCAACCCTAGCACTCAGAAGAATGAAGTAGGAGGTTCATGAGTTCAAAGTGAGCCTGAGCTATGCAGAAAGACCCTGTCTCAGAGAGAGAGAGAGAGAGAGAGAGAGATTTTGCTCATACAAAGACATTTTTAAAAGGCAAGACTACAAAATTAGAAAGCTGTTGAGAACTCAGAATGCACTCCCCATGGAAATTGTGTTTTAAGTGGACCTCTATGCCAGCTCACAAGTCTGATTCTTCTACAGCATCCTGAAACTTATCTCCAGTCATTCCTTTTCTCTCCATCTCAACTGTCACCCTGGTGTCCAAGCCACAGTCATCTCTCACCCAGACCACTGGTCTTCTGTTTTTCTTCTACAATCCCCTTTCCACAAAGCAGTGGAGATCTTCCAAAACCACAAATCAGGCCATGATACACTTCTGCATAAAACTTCCCGATAGCTTCCCATGGCGTTTAGGATAAAATATCAACTCCTTACATGGCCTACAAGCCCTTGCACAATGTGGCCCCTGCTTTTCTGTTCCCCCTTCCCAACTGTCACTAAACTCTAACTATCCTGGCCTAAAACCAGTCAAATGTGTCCCAGTCTCAGGACCTTTGTGCTCCTCTGGCTTATTCCATCTTTTCTTGCTTCTCCTTACACGCTCCTTCTATCTCATGCTTCACATCCCAGATTAAAGATGTCTTCTTCAAAGACCATTCTATCCAAAGTCGCCCACCCCACATTACCTCCATCACTGCTTCCTGTTCATTTCTGCCACGGCTTTCCCCTGAGTAGGTATCTACTGCATCTGTTTACTCTTTCCCCACTGTGTGTTACTTCATGAGAGCAGGGACTCCCTTGTCTCCATCATGATGCCTGTGAACTCTACAGCCAGATCTGGTAAACAGCAGTAACTCAACGTTTGATGAAATTATGAATGAAATACTGAAAGAGAAAGGGTTGGAGGAGTGGCTCAAGTGCTAGAGTGCTTGCCTAGTAAGCAGGAGGCCCCAAGCTCAAAAAAATAAATAGAAAAAATAAAACCATTACAACACGTATAAACAGAAAGCTAAAGTTGAATGTTTCAAATAGCACCGCCTGTGGCCATAGCCAAGCCCTACTTCATATGAAATGAACACCACACTAAGTGTTTTATATCCCATTTGTTTAATCATCACGTGACCACAGTAAAGTGGCCTTTACTGCTAACTTCTTGTGAGAGATGGAAAAAAACCAGGCTCAAAGATACCCAGGGCCACCAACTAGCTGGTGGTAGAACTGAGGCTCTTCAACAACCCTCTGGAAAGGGGGCATGGGAGATTATTTTCCCACGCCTTTTGCATCTGAAGATAACGTTATTTTCCACTCATACTTCGGGGTTACGTACACAGAATTCTAGGCTGGAGGTCATCTTCCCTCAGACTATGCAGGCCTGCGCCATCGCCTTCTAGCTGTGTGCTGTTGTCGGGTAGCACGCTGCTGCCAGGATCAGCTCTGCCCCCACAGCCTCACTGGGACCTATTCGTTATCCCCAGGGTTCTGCAATTTCACAGGAATAACCTTGCTGTGGTCTTTTCTTCTGTCCTTGCCCTGGGTACTTGGTAAATCCTTTCAATCTGAAAACTCATGTACTGTAATTCTGGGAAACTTTCTTATTTTACTTCTTTGGTAATTCCAGTCCACTCTTTCCTCTGTCCTGAAACTCCTGTTAGTCAGCTATTAGACTTCCTAAAGTGTTTTTCTATCTGTTCGTCCTTTTCTACCTCTTTGAATTTTATTCTTACTTCGCTTTGTATTCCCATACCACTAATAACTTTCAAATTCTGACGTTATATTTTTAATCTCCAAGCGCTCTCTTGCTGTCTGGATTATTGATTTTATGCATGCTCTAGTGGCATGGGTGCAATCTCTTCTTCCTCTCTCTGAAGATGACAGCTATAGGCTTTTGGGGTTTGTTTGGTTGGTTTTTTTGGGTTTTGTGTGTATGTGTGGTATTGGAGCTTGAACTCAGGACCTATACCACGAGCCACTCCGATAGCCCCTTTCTGTAATGGGATTTTTCGAGATAGGGTCTCTTGACCTATTTGCTAAGGATGGCTTTGAACTGCGATCCTCCTGACCTCTGCCTCCTGAGTAGATGGGATTGCAGGCAGGAGCCACTAGTGCCCAGCCAGGCTTTTAGTTTTTAAGTTTTCCTCTGTACCTTGAACTACCATCTGTGTCTTCCAAGTCCCTTTTTAACTTTTCTTACTTGAGCCTGTCATGTTAGTTTTACTTGCATGTCTGACTGGGGATCTGTGACTCAGTGTTCACTCATATTCAACAAGGGTGACTGAAAGCTCTTCATGCCGGAGCAGAGCTGAGAGCTCAGCTTATCCACTGGTGGCTTCAGCATATGGTAATCAGGAGGGGTCCTGCCTTGTTGGAGGATCCTGAAACATCAATCTGTGGGTCTTTTCTCTTGGTTCATCCAGACAGGGATCCACAAATTCTGCCTGCCTGGCTGCTATCATTCTGGGAGTTGAGCAGGGAGACAGGGGATGGGTCTCAGTATGGCACCACACCAACATAACCGTGCTTGTTACCTCTGGGGCTTCTCCAGTTAAGATTCTTAGAAAGTAAATTTAGCTTCTTCTGTCAGGATGGAGAGAGAATAGTCAGGGTGGAGAAAGATGTGCACATAAGGGAATTAGGAGTCTGATCAATCTTTCTTAGATTTTTCTCAACAAAAAGTCCTGTTTTGGCTGGGCATGGTGGCTCATGTCAAAAATCACAGCTCTTCAGAAGACAGAGCCTGGGAGGATCACAGTTCAAGGTCAGACTGGGCAAAAGTTAGTGATATCCAATCTCAACCAACAAACTGGGCGAGGCAGCTCATGCCTATGATCACAGCTACCCCAGCTATGCAGAAGGCATAAGTAGGAAGATCATGATCTGAGGCTGATCCCAGGCAAAAATTTGAGACTATCAGAAAAATAACTTGGAAAGGGGCTGGGGGTATAGCTCAAATGGTCGAGTGCCTGCCTATTAACTGCAAGTGCTGAATTCAAACCCCAGCACTGCCAAAAAAAAATCCACTTACTACCTTCAAAGTGCTGTATACCCCTAATTCCCAAGCCTTCCTAGAACTGTAGAAGGCAAGTCTCCTCCCTTCTTGCCAGTGCACTTATCTCTAGATGTAAAAGTTTCAACTTTCTGTTCTGCTAAAAGTTTTTATATTCATTCTTCTGTTTTCTCTCTTTCAAAAGCCTGTTGTTCACAAAAGCCAATTTTCAGCAAGGGGACAGAACCTATTGACATCTTTTATTATCTATTATCTCCTCTCCTGTTCTCTTTGCCTATGTGGGCTTATCCATTTGTATTCTTTTGCTACCGCTTTATTAAAGTTTAAAGAAGTAAAGATAAGCCACATCAATCAATCACTTTTAATCAATAGTTAGGTAGCATTTCTCACCCCACCACTGACTGGCTCCTTTTCATCATTAACATAATTCTGGTTGCTGAGGGTTGTATTTTAGTTCACAAAACAAGGAAATACAAAGAAAGAAAAGGACGGGGTTTTCTCTGGAGACAAGTGGGAAGAGTTAGAAGAATAAAGAGTAAAAGAGTAGCTGGACTTGATGATGCAAGTCTGTAATCCCAGCACTCAGGAAGAAGCAAGAGAATCGAAGGTTGGAGGCCAGCCTGAGATACATAGTGAGATACCCTCTCAAAAAAAAAAATATATATATATAAAAGTAAAGATGGAGGAGTTAAAGAAGCCATACATATCCAGGTAAAGGTTGTAGTGGTTTGAGTTGCCAGAGGAAAAAGGTAAAGTTCCCGATACTGACCACTAGGTGGCACTGTTAGCCTAAGACAGCTTTGTGTCTGAGTGTTGCCAGAATTGCAAAGAGATCTGTGGGGTGTTTCTATATGCGTGTTCCTCACAAGGCTGTACCTTCAAAAATGGTTTCCAGCATGTGTTGTATTGAAGAGTTGTTATTTGATGAGAGTGCACACTTGGAATACCCACAGGTTAGATAGATATTAGTTGATCCCAAACCTCAGCTATCATGTAGAATACTCCAGACTACTAAATCAGAGTATCTAGGGATGGAGCCTTGGAATCCATTTTTAGTGAATTTCCCAATGGTGATGATAGAAAACTAAGTTTGGAAACAACAGAACTATACAAAAGTGATTCTATGCATTTTAAATACCTGAACACCTCTGAGTAGTCAAGGACTTGATGTAGGAGTGGCTGACCCCTCACTGCCCTACAACATAAAGAATCTGTCCTTCTGTTCTCCAAGCCAGGCACTGGTGGCTTATACCTGTAATCCTAGCTACTAAGGAGGCAGAGATCAGGAGGATGGAGTTTCAAAGCCAGCCCAGGAAAATAGTTGGAGAGACCCTATCTCAAAAAATCCCATCACAAAAAAAAGGGTTTGCAGGGTGGCTCAAGGTGAAGGCCAAGATCAAACCCTAGTATTGCAAAAAGAAAAAGAATCTGTCCTCCAAATATTAGCAGTCACACCTTGGGCTTTGTACTTGATAAAGAATTTTTTAAATTTTTTTAAACTTTTTGTAGTTACATTTTTCCTATACAGAAAAATAATCTGTTTTCTTCCTTTTTAAAAATTAATAGGTTATTGCTAGAGCAGGTTGAGGCTTACAGAGTAATTAAGCAGACAGCACAGAGACAGTTACAGAAAATATGTCACTCAACTATCACAAGCAACTACTCTTATAATCACTGCTGGCATGAATGTCAGCTCAGTATTTTCACATAGCGGCAGGTGTGTATCTTTTGAAGCTAACCATACATACCGTTCTTGAACAACTTTGGAGTAAGCCCCAGCATTCAAGGTTTTCCTGATGAAGTCACAGATGTGAGAGCTCTCTCCTGGGCATCGGGGGAGTCCAAAGACCCCTGAAATGGTGAAAGACAAGCACCCATTCCTCTAGTAATCACACTGAATACCCACTATGTACAAGGCACTGTGAAAAAGCAAAAGGGACAAAAGCCAGACCCAGGTCTCATTCATTCCTCAAAGAAGTGAAGCAATAGCACAACCAGCCTCCTCTTGGCACTTCTACTCTGCTGCCTAAGGATCTCTGCTCTGCCCCTCCCTGGAGGATGTGCTGCTTCTGCATGTAACTAGACTCACCTTGGTTCTCCTGTCTTTTTTGTGTGTGTGGTGGGGGAGTAGGGGGTACTGAGGCTTGAACTCAGGGCCTATACCTTGAATCACTCTTTTGTGACAGGGTCTTGTGAACTATTTGCCTGGGCTGAGTATGAACCATGATCCTCCTGATCTCCGCCTCCTGAGTAGCGAGGATTACAGGCATGAGCCACCAGTGCCTGGCCCCTTTTAAAATTACCTCTAGATTTCTTATCCTACCTAATACAATGTAAACTCTATGTATACAAAGTAAATGCTATATAAATAATTGTGAGGCTATATTGATTAGAGAATAATGACAAGAAAAAAGTTTGTATATGTTCAATATAGATGTAATTTTTCCCAAAATATTTCTGATCCACGGTTGTTTGAATCCACAGATGTAGAATTCACAGTTTGGAGGGATGACCCGATTGACAATAAGTGATTAAATCCTCACAACCATCCTATGGAGTAGTTATCATTATTTGCCTAAGATCACAAATAGAAAACTTTTTATTTTTTTGTGGTACTGGGGCTTGAACTCAGGGCCTAGACCTTGAGCCACTCCACCAGCCCTTTTTTCTGACAGGTTTTTTTCAAGATAAGGTCTCTCAAAATATTTGCCCAGACTGGCTTCGAACCATGATCCTCCTGATCTCTGCCTCCTGAGTAGCTAGGATTACTGGTGTGAGTCCCTAGCACCTGGCCACAAACAGAAATCTTTAAGACAGGTTAAATACCTCATTCAAGGTTACACAATAAGGGTTACAGCCAGGATTTGAACAAGTTTGGTTCCAGAACTTATTCCTTTAACAATCACATCCACAAATCTGTCCCTCCATAAATACTTGCTGAATGAATAGTAAAGCTGTTTTTAACAGCAGAATACTTGGGTTTTTTAAAAGTATTTTCCTACATACCATTTCACTTCATTCTCTGCAAATTCCCACAAGATGGGCAGTCACACTTTAGTTTTCCCCATCTGTGAAAGGAACCTAAAATAAGCTTATATACAAAGACTCGAACTCCTGCACTCTACCAGACAAGCACAATATCCATCGTGAGAGACAAAAATTCTATTCCAAAGGCACGTCCCTCCCCCAAATATGTACCTGCTGCAGCTCAAATCTCAGAAACTGAGTACAAATAAGCTCAACCACTTATTAGTTGTATAACTTTTGGGCAAATGACTTCAGTTATTGCAAACACCAATTCCTTGTCAATAATTGTTAAGAACAACACCTACCTGTAGGGTTGTAAAGATTAAATGAGAAAAGCTGCATAAACATTTGAATCAGTGCTTAAAACTGTTAGTTATTAATATAAAATGGCCAACCCAATTTGAAAAAAAAAAACCTGCTACTTTTGAAAGGATCTACTTTTTTATTAAAATTCAAAGGCCAAAAAACTTAAGACACTATTTTTTTGTCTAAGCCTAAATTCAATAGCAGAGCACCAATGTCAAAAACAGGAAAAGTTGTTATGTTTTCCTGACTCCTCCACCACCACCTGCATGTCAACTGAACTGGACAACCTAATGATTTACGTATGTCACAGGTCTCTGGAATCTTAAGTCACTTCCCACTTCCTCACCAATGCTGCTCAGTTCATAACAGGATTTTACAAGGATAACTGATTTATCATGCAACCACAGCTGCTAGATATTTTTAAAGAAATCAAGCAGGCATGTGGGTTAGACAAGAGAAAAAGGAGATAAAGAGGTCCAGGTTACCTTGATGTTGTCCCCCAACTGAGATCAGATTGATCATGGGAGGTGACGGGCATCTCTGAGCCACTGCCCTCCTGGCGACATAAAAGGAGGTTATCAGTTCTCACTGGCAGACAGTCAGCTTCAGAGATTAAGCTGCTCAACACACTGGTTCCCCAAAGCCACAGAGTAGAGGATTTTCCTCTGCTATGGCCAAACACAAATCTTTCTTTCATAGAATATAAATTAAGTTCCGTAAAGCTTCTTACATGGGAACTTTTTAGACTAACTTCCCTTTTCAGATAGGGGAGATTCCCAAAAGAATTAGAGTAGATTTATCTGAATAAAAGAAAACAAATCAATTCCATGCAAGTGGTATTGTAGAAAAGAAACGGACTTACAGAAATTGGCCTCCCTGGGAGAATCCCATCGCATTGTAGCCTTGCTGCAATTTTGGATCCTTGGCAAGAACCTGACACACCATTGTGACTTGAAGATTGACATTCAAGAAGAAGCTGTTTTCCACATCCTAAAAAAGGAAATACAGAGAAGTGAAAGGATGGCACACATCTGTAATCCCAGCACTCAGCAGGTTGAGACAAGAGGACTGCAAGTTCTAGGCCCGCCTGAATTACACAACAAGATTCTGTCTCACTCAAAGAATGTAGATATCATTGTATGATTTGCTGCTAAAAATGCAAGGTGCAGCGTTCTAATAGTCCCTTCTGTGAAACCAGCTGGCAAACCTTTCAGGGAGCAGAGCTGTGAAGGGCCTTACCTCTCTCATGTTCTTCCCAATCTCTAAAGACAAAACGTAAATTCCTGGTATTTTCTTCTCAACCATTTTTTTAATGGCACCCATACTCAGGGGATTGCAACAGCTGTCTCCTGGTCAACAAAGACAAGAATGGAAATTCATGCATCAAAATAACATTAACTTATTTTTTTAAAAACTGTTGTGCCTTAAAGGACATTATCAAGAATGTGAAAGGCAACATACAGAATGGGAGAAAACATTTGGAAAACACAGATCTAATATGAGTTTAGTGTCCAAAACATAAATAATTCTTACAACTTAAGATAATTAATTTAAAAATGGGAAAAGGATTCAAAGGCATTTCTCCAAAGAAGATATTAAATGGTCAATAAGAAGCTTCACGAGTTACTAAGGAAACACTAACAATGGAGTACCACTTCATATCCACCTGGATTGCTTTAATAATAACTTGTTTAAAAACTGGAGTGCAAGGCCCTGAGTTCAAACCATAGCACCACCAAAAAATAAATAAATAAACCATAAAAACTGGAAAATAAGTACTGACAAAGAGATGTAGAAATAGGAACCCTTTGTACACTGACGGTGAAAGTGTACTAATGTAACCACTGTGGAAAAACTTTGGCAGTTTCTTAAAAAATTAACTGTAGAATTACCACCTGACCCAGCCATTCCACTTTCAGGTATATGTATTCAAGAGAAATAAAAACACATGTCCATACAGAAATTTGTATATGAATGTTTACAGTAGTAGTCTTGGTAATAGGCAAAAGCTGGGGAAAAAAAATGTCCATCAGCAGATGAATAGGTAAATAAACTGTGGTATATTTATGCAATGGAATATTATTCAGCTGTAAAAAGGAATGAAGTCACATGTTACGACTTGGATGAACCTCAAAAACATTATGCTAAGTGAAATAAACCTGGCACAAAAAAAAGATCACATACTAGGCTGACAGAGTGGTTCAAGTGGTAAAGTGCCTACCTAGCAAGCATGAAGCCCTGAGTTCAAACCTCAGTACCACCAAAAAAAAAAAATCACATAATATATAACCCCTTTTATATGCTACATATATTCAGAATTGGCAACTCCATAGAGACAGAAAATAGGCTAGAGGTTATTACGGATGGGAGAAGAAAGGATAAAATGATTACATAATGAGTATGGGTGTTTTTCTGAGGTGCTGAAAACTTTGAAACTAGAGAGAAACATGAAAACACTAAATGCCACTGAACTGTACACTTTAAAATGATTAATTTCTCGATGTATGAATTCATCTCAAAAAAAGATAAAAGAACACGTTTTTGTTTAGTTCCTATTTATTGAATAGTAACAAGCTTCAAAAGCCCATGTGAGCCAGGAGGCTGGCGCAGGATCACATACCCAGGCCGGCTGGGGCAAAAGTACGAGACCCTTTCTGAAAACAAACCAAAAGCAAAAGGGTTGGGGGTGGCTCAAGTGGGACAGAACTTGCCTAGCTCAATCCTCACTCCATATGATGTAACTGGGATAGCAAATTTACAACTGAAGAATAAACAGAGGTGCACATTCCTCCCTGTCACATGGCAAGAGAAGCCTAAGGCGCAATATTCAGTAAGGAGGCACCCACTCTCAGGCTGGCACCAGTGCTGCCAATTCTGAACCTGCCCAAACTTAAGCGTGAGTGCTTCCTTAACCTGTGCTGTAGGTGCGCCCTTGCTTCATCCTGCTTCCAGACTTGCTCCTTTTCCTGTCAAGAAACCAGAACTAAGAGCAGGAAGCAACCTAGCACCTAATGGAGGAGTGGAGTCAGATCATCGCCATTGTGCACTTAATCATCCTGTTTTTAACCTCTGAGGAAGCTTGGGAGCCAGTTTAAAGGAAAACCTACGGTCTAGAGAAGCTTCTTTATCTCTCCTAACAGCACACCACACTGCTCTCTAACTGTAGCTCACCTTCCTGCCTCCCCTGTGCGCTGACTTTGAGCACTAGGGAGGACAGAGCATCTGCCTTGCTCCCTTTTTTATCCTCATCGTAGAAGCCCTGGGGCATGAAACAGAGCTTCAAAGGAGACTTTGAATGTGTAGACTTGCTAATTCTAATTCCTCTCAGAACGTTTTGTTGTTGTTGTTGGGGGGTAAGACTATGGTTTGAACTCAGGGTTTCACACTTGCAAAGTAGGCACTCTACCACTTGAGCCAGCTTCCAGTCCCTCCCTCAACGTTTTAACCCATTCCTTTCTTTCTTACTATAAACCCCAAACTGCTTTTGCCAAGATCAGTACATCTTCATACTGTTAAACCCAGTATGATGAGGCCAGTTCTCAGGCCTCATCATACTGACCTCACAACATGTGATCCAGTAACCACTCCTTTCCTCTTGAAACATTTTCTTCAGGTGACACTGCATGCTCCTGACTTCCCTCCTCACCACAGGTCATTCTGTCACTGTCTCCTTTGCTAATTTCTCCTCATTCCCTAAATGCTCTGCATACACACTCCCTAAGTGACCTTACCCAGCGTCAAGGTTTTAAAAGCTGGCCATAAACAGAAGGCTCCTAATTAAATCTCCAGCTCGTATCTCTCTCCTAGACTTGACATTCAAGTCAAGCCTCTGTAACTCCTCCCAGTTGTGTAACAAGGATTTCAAATTTAGTAAGTCCAAAAACAGACTTGATCATCACCCTCCAGCCCCAAGTTTACGCACCCTAAGGGATAGTCTACATTACTAAAATGACAACTTGACCCTTCTAGCTGTCCAGGTCAAATAAATCATCTCTGACTCCTTCCTTTCTCTCTCAAGCTACATCTAAATCCCTGGTTCCACCCTCAAAATATACTCAAACTGGTTACTTCCAACACCTCCACTGTTACTATACAGCTCCAAGCTACGATCATCTCTTAGAAGGTTAAGTTATGGCAACAGCTTCTTAATTTGTCTCCCTGAACTGCCTGTGTCTCCCTAAAGTCTATTCTCAGTACAGCAACAAGAATGACCCTTTTAAAATGCAAATCAGATCATGTCACTCATTTGCCCCAAAACTTTCTACCTCATCTAGGCAAAGTCCCAATATTAGTCTTAGTAGGTCCAACCACATGGGTCCACCCTCTCTCTAACTTAAACCTCCATTCTCTTCCCCTTGCTCAGTCAGTTCCAGTCACACTGATCTAAAAATGGTTACTTGAACATACAGGACACACTTCTGCCTCTTGGCCTTTACATTTTCTGATCCTTCTACCACACATCCAAATGGCAACTTCCCTCCTCCACTTCAAACCTTTGTTCAGACGTCATTTTTTCCGTGAATCCTTTCCTAACCTTGCTCCATAAAGTACAAGCCCATAATCCCAGCGCTTGGGAGGCAGAGGCAGGAGTTCTAGTCTAGCCGAGGCGACACAGTAACACTGTCCAGAAAAAAAAAAAAAAAAAAGTGAAAGCCCTCATCCGCGGTCTCTGTCCTTCTCCCCCTTTTCTCCATTGCGCTCATCACCACTTGACATGTTTTACTTGTGTTTACTTATAGTCTGTCTCTCCCCCTGTCAAGTTCCAAAAGAAAGAAGAATCTGGTCTGTGTCATTCACTGCGATGTCCTCAGCGCCCAGCAGGTGCTCACGATGCGTTAGGTGTAAGCGAACTGCAGGTGCCTCGCCACCTCCCCGCTGTGGGGACGGAACGAAGGATGGAGCCGCCGTTCAGGGCCAGCCTGCCGCCAGGCTGCGGGGTTTCAACCCGACATGGGGTACCCGCCAAAAGACGACTCCTTCCCTCTTCCCTCCTCCCAGTGCAGAGCGGCTGTCCTCGTCCTAAGCCGCAGGGAGTCACTCGCTCGCTCGCTCGCCATCCTCACCCTCCTTTTGCAGTCGCGCCCCAGGCTCACTCACCCATCCCATGCCAGATCACCAGCGGCAGCGGCGCGGGCGGGTCCAGATGCCCCAGCGCCCGGGCGGCGCAGGACCAGGGCAGGAGAGCCACAGCCAGAAGCCACAGGGAGCCGGGCAGCGCCATCTTGACCCAGTCACATGACCGCGGGCGCGCGACGCGCGGAACAGCACTGCCGGCGCGCATCTCGCGCACGTCGCCCCCGGCCCCGCGCGGCGGGCGGCGGCCTGAGGAGCAGTGCTGGGGGGCGGGGAGGAGGGGAGGGGAAAAGTGGGGCGACCGCGACCCCGCAGGGCTGCCCGCCCGCCCTGCAGCCCACAGCTGGTCTGCGGCGGTCCCTGGGAATCAGGCCGTTGCTAGCGTTTGTTCAGCGCCTACTGCATACAGGCGCTGCTGTAGAGCTTTACAGTCTTTAAATGCTCTAACCCTTATCACGCTTTGCATTGCGCCCCACTTTACAGGTAAGGACCCCGAGGCACAGAGAAGTTGGGTAAGGTGCCGAGGTCACACAGCAAACTGGTTGGTCCAAAGTCGTTGCAAATGCTCAGTGCTGGGGATGCAGCTCAGTGGTAGAGCATCGGCCGGGCAGGCGCAAGGGCCTCCTGGCTGCCATCCCCGCTCTGCAAGAAAAAAAAAAAAAAAAAAGGAAGGAAGAAAGGACTCAACCCCGTGTTAGAAACAGAAGGGAACACATAATTCCCTGGTAGGGGTGTAGTATTTCTTCTAGATCTTGAAGGAAAGCTAGGGCTTCAACAGGCAGAGAAGAAATTGGGGAGATGACACGAGCCTTCGCTCACGAGTGAGGTGAACTTCAGACTGACAAGGGCATCTGCTGGCTGCAGAAGACTGACGGGAAATTCACTGCCACTTCCTGGTCTAAGCTCGGAGCTGGGTTATTGCAAGAGGCGCCCATCAACCTATTCCCCCCTTTCATCCATTTGCAGTTCTATTACCCAATTCTTTCTCTCAATACATTTTCACCATCTCAGTTCCCTGCTCAAACCTCCCCCCCCCCAGAAAAACATCTAAAATTGATAAGGAATCTGCTAAGTAAACTAGGGGGTATCCACTGTACAATGGAATACCACGAGACTGGCTTTTTAAAGGATAAGGTAGTCTTAACATATCGAGACATGAAAAATTCTCCTCAATGTATTTATTGTAAAGAAAAACTGGTTACACAGCCACATGAATCCTTCTATCCAACTCTGTTGGGACCAGTAGTTGGTTTCAAAAGTCAGTTAAAATTCAGGATTATAAAGCTTTATGCAACATACAGTTCTGTTAAAAAAAAAAAAAAACTTATATTAGCATTTTCTTTTTAGCTTAAGACTTACAGATGTCAGTTCTTTCACCAATCTTCTGAGGTAGCCTTAGGCTTTTTCTGTGATTATGGTGACTCTGATTGAGGCATTTCTTGAAATGACTTGTTTCTTGCTTTTAATGACTTCTCTGTGATTTCTTTTAAAGTGGAGGAATAACTGAAAGACACTTGTGAAGCAATCTGACTGCAACATTCTTCTAGATGGTTGCAGACTTCTAACTCAGACCTAATTTAACAATTATTTTTAGGAACTTGCTGTTAACAAGACTTTCCAAAGCATCCAAATATCACTGATATAAATAAGCAGAATAAACCCGACTGGCATTTGGTAGGCAAGGTACCTCAGCTGGCAGGAGTAGAACTACCCAGGAGTTGTCAAAAGTAGCTTTCACCAGTGTTGATGATGCAGGAGAGAGTGGGTTAAATCAGGATTTAGAATGTATGTATCTATAAACATAAAGAGATGGTTGCACAACTCTATAAAATTACTAAAAATCAGCCTGGCACCGGTGACTCACATCTGTAATCCTAGCTACTCAGGAGGCAGAGGTCAGGAGGATCTCTGGGTAAAGAATATGTGATGAAGGCTGGAGGTGTGGCTCAGTTCAAAGCCAGCCCAGGCAAATAGTTCAAGAGACCCTAGCTCGAAAAACCCTTTACAAAAAAGGGCTGGTGGAGTGGCTCAAGGTGTAGGTGCTGAGTTCAAGCCCCAGTGTCACAAAAAAAATAAATAAATAAAATTACTAAAAATCATTGGCTTGTAACACATAAAATGAGTAATTTTTTTTTTATAGCACTGGAGTATGAACTCAGGGCCTCTACTTACTAGGTAGATGCTCTTCCACTTGAGCCACTCCACCAGCCCTTTTTTGTATTGGGTATTTTTGAGATAAGATCTCAAACTATTTGCCCAAGCTGGCCTCGAACTGCAAACCTCCTGATCTCCGCCTCAAAAATAGTGATTTTGTTGGTGGTGGTACTGCGGTTTGAACTCTGGGCCTCACACTTGCTAGGCAGGTGCTCTACCACCTGAACCACTCCACCAGCCCAAAATGAGAGAATTTTATGCTATGTAAAATGTGTCTCAAACTGGACTGAGTGATGCATGACTGAAATCCAAGCACTCAGAAAGTCAAGACAAGAAGATCCTGAGTTTCAGATCAGCCACATAGCAAGTTCCAGAACAGCCTAGGCTACATAGTGAGACCTTATCTCAAAAAAAAAAAAAAAAAAAAAAAACCCTCCATAAAGCTGTTTCTTTTTTATAAAGACATATACATATTCAGATATTCATATATTTCTAGTGGTTATTACTGAAAGACCGAAGCATTGATAAGAAAAAAGAAAATAAGCTGGGCACTATGGCTCACACCCGTAATCCTAGCTACTTGGGAGGCTGAGATCAGGAGGATCTAGGTTTTTGGCCAGCCTGAGCAAACAGTTCATGAGACCTTATCTCCAAACAGAGCAAAAATGGACTGGAGGTGTGGCTCAAGTGGTAGAGCGCATGCCTTGCAAGCTTGAAGCCCTGTGGTCAAACCCCAGTCCCACCCAAAAAGAAAATTACTGCATGTAAACAGGCTACACCTATGAGTGTGTAGAGACTGATTCTGTTTGTGTACCTGGGAGAAAAGGAGGAAGGAATGAAGCAAGACTTCAAGAATTGAGAGGTCTAACTGGAAGCTGAGGTGTGTGCCTGCAGTCCTGGCACTCAGGAAAACTGAGACAGGAGGATAGTGTGAGGCCAGGAGTTGGAGACCAGCCTGGGTAACACAGCGAGACCCTGTCTCAAGAAAAAAATAAGAAAACTGAGAAGTCTGGGTAAAGGATATGTGATGAAGGCTGGAGGTGTGGCTCAAGTGGTAGAGCTCCTGCCTAGCAGGTGTGAGGCCCTGAGTTCAACCCCATACAGCCAAAAAAAGGCCTACTTTTTATTTACTAACATATAATAGTTGTACAGGGGGGTACATTAGGACATTTATGTATGTGCTTACGATATATCTTAGATTCACCCGCTCCATCATTCCGCCTTATCCCCCCTCTACTCTGGCTAATCTTTGATGGTGATATTTAGTGGTTTTGTTTTTTAAAAATGTTTTCCCCCAGCATTTTGAGGTATAATTGTCAAATAATGGAACTTAGGGGATATTTCTTTGGGTCAGTAGTGGGTTTTTTTCATTGCTTAAATTATTTATGATGGGTGGAGGAGGGGGAAGTGGCCAGAACATTGTATACACATGTAAGTAAATGTAAAAACAATAAAATAAAAATTTTAAAAGTAAATAAAAAAATAAAGTGTCTGTGCCTGGTAATTTCTGTTACTATACCCACTTATTCTGGACATTGTTAGTGGTTGGTATTCATTAATTAGTGTGTATGTTGTTATTATTTTTACTCCCTTTTCTGCTTTGTAGAGAGGCTCTTCTTAATAAAGTTGTGACAAAATTTTAAAAATTATTTATGTTGAGCATGGATTTAAGAGCAATAAACCATTTTTTCTTAGAGCGAAACTAGGCATGGTGATGCATGCCTGTAATCCCAGCACTCTGTATGCTGAGGAGAGGGAGATCACAAGTTTAAAGCCAGCCTGGACTACACAGTGAGCTCCTTCTTTAAATTATTAATTAACTTATGAAATAATTGATTAATAAAACATAAAATAAAACTTCAGCACTTCTCTCTAGTTCTCAGGATTGGTTTTCAAAATGAGAACTCAGACAGTCTTCCCTCCCTTTCCTCCCACGTGTGACAAAGCTGATCTTAAGGGGTGTCCCCAGAAACTTGCCTCTGATCCTTTATCCACATCAATTCTACCATCTGGCACAAACTTGCCATCTTTAATGTGCTTAAGTCCAACCCTGTCCACAAAGGTAAACCCTTTCTCCATCTCTTCCACTGACCTTCCTAGAGTCATGCCCCACCCCCCAACAAATTTTAAGCAAACAGCTAAAAGTATCTATACAGAGAAATACAGTTTTTCTTCCTCTGGGTCTGGTTTTAAGAGGAACCATTTCGGAGGAGGCAAGCAAATTTCTCTCAATTTAAGTCAATTGCAGATTTTTTTAGGCTTATGAAACTAGCACAGGAAGTGAGAACCTGCAAAGCCAGATTTGCAATGTAACTTCAAAGAGTACTGAGAGTTAATAAGGTGCACATCACTTCCCAGAACAGCCTGATTGTGCAAGGAATAATAGGAACACACAGGAGTATCGATGCTCCTGTTTTATTTTTTGCACACAAGAAATGAAAACACTTTTTATACATTAAAATTTTTAATGATGTTGCTTGCTATTAAAAACATACTTAGGAGCCAGGTACCAGTGGTTCACACCTGTAATCCTAGCTACTCAGGAGGCAGAGATCAGGAGGATGGCAGTTCAAAGCCAGCCCAGGCAAATAGTTCTGGAAACCCTATCTCAAAAAATCCCATCACAAAAATAGGGTTGGTGGAGTGGCTTAAGTTAAAGACCCTGAATTCAAACCTCAGTACTGCAAAAACAAACAAACAACAACAAAAAAATTCTTCGAGATCATCAAGATCTAGCTACTTACCAGCTTTTCAATAAAATGAGCAGAAATTTCACTAAATGAGAATACTGTTGGACTAAAAAAACCAATCTACTTCTGTCATGCGAGCCATGAAAAAGGCCGTGATACCATTAGCTGGTGGCAGTGATGCATAAAAGCCATACCAAAATTTTTTGGTTTGTACTGTTGCTAGCGATAATAGTGGTACTACAAGTTGGGTGTGTGTGGCGCTCAATGGTGGAACACATGCTCAGCATGTGTGAGGTGCTGGGTT